TTGAAGCAGTTGGAAAAGGAGACTACTCACAAAAGATAGCAAGGGGGTAAAAAAAAGTCAGTGAATTGGAATCAGATTGATGGATCATCAGTGTGTATATCCTGTTTTTTATTTTATCTTACAGTTTTGTAGAATGTTACTTTCGTGGTTTGGGGTTTTTGCAAGGGTAATAGTATAATACAGGACACATTTTATAAGATTATTTATAATTAGTCACCCAAAGAATCTTATACAAAAAGAGAGTGCAGGAAATCTGTCCACACACTAAAGACCAAAAGAATCCAGCTGAGGGCCTGGATCCCATGAAAATGTCCTGCTTGCGTCCTGCTGAAGACCTAGAGCCCATGAAAATGCCTCGCATGAGTCCAGCTGGAGGGCTAGAGCCCACAACAATGTCTCATGCAAGCCTGTTTCATGGATCTGCACTGGGAAGGCCCAAAGGTCAGTGGTGGAAGCTAGAAAGTCTGTGCCAGCGGGATGAAGGATCTGTGCTAGCAGGCTGAGGGTTCTGCAGTGGAGCCAGGAAGCAGTGCTCAAAGTAAGAAATAGGACTCCCCCAAAAACTACCACAGCCATCCTCAGCAACAGTGAAGTCCCGAGCTTCTCTGAAGATGAGGAAAGCCAAGTTCCCATCAGGAAAGCCAACGTGACAAGCTTCTCCAGGAGACTGAGCAGTGCACCATCTTCCCCTCTGGAGCCAGGAAGTGATGCTCAAAGTGAGGACCAGAGCTCCTCCAAGGTGAACCAAAGCCATTCTCAGCAATAAGGTCCCGAGCTCCTCTGACAGTGAGAATAGTGGAGTACATCAGGAAAGTCAGCATGACAATCTTGTCCAAGAGAACCAACAGCTCTTTACAGCTTCTAACAGCACCCAAGAGTTTCTGCCAGCTCCCAACAGCTTCATAACTTCTTTAGTTCTGCCTGTTATGCTACTGGCAGCAATCTTCAGGTGGGCCTCCCACACCCAGCACTACGCTGATTCAGTTCAGCTGGGTGTTACAAGTTGACCACCAGTTGTCAGTCCACCAAAGTTACCATTGTGAGAAATCTAAAGAATACAGTCTCTCTTTATATCTTATGACTGCACGTGACTCTATTAAAAAGTTTGATTTTAAAAAGGGGGGAAGCCCTTAAAATAATCTGTCCCCTCAAAAGTATGATAGAAGCTGTGTTTTTACTAATTTATAAGATTACTTTAAAGATACAAAAGTTTTTCTTTAAAAAACTAAGCCAAAAAAATCAAAGGAAAATGAAAATCAACACAAGAAGCATTCATATAGAATTATAAAAATAAGCTCATAATACCTAAAATCTTAAACATGGCCTGTATGTCCTTCAAGAGATGAACAAATAAAGCAAGTGTGGTATTTATACACACTGGAGTATTCCTCTGCCATAAAGAAGGATAAACTCAGGTCATTTGTAGGGAAATCAATGCACCTTGCTACCATGTTAAGTGATATAAGTCAGACATACAAGCATAAATGTCACGATTTCTCTTACATGAGAAATCTTGAAGATACCATATAAATAAAGTGCTAAATGAAAGATAATAGAAAAAAAGTTACTGTAATCCAGTATGCCAAGTGATTTAGTATATGTAATTGTTTTATGTTTTTTATATTTTCTTGGCTTGTTAGTCTGGCTGTTGATCTGTGCTTAGGATAGTTAACTTGGTAAAGACTTTTTAAAAATTAATAGATCTAATACTGGCAAAAAAAAAAAAAAAAAAAGGGCATGGAGAAGGGGGAAAAAGAATGGAGATGTGTTATGTAACAACTCCACACAGTGAATGCAGTCATTATATACTGCAAACTTGTACCGATAAAGATTTAAGGGTTGGGCATATAGTTCAGTGGCATAAGCGCCTGCGTGGCAAGCACAAGGTCCTGAGTTCAATTCCCGGTACCAAAAAAAAAAAAAAAAAATTAAAAATAAAGTCAAGAGAGCCAGACTTTTCAGTTGTATAAGACTATCAGGCTTGACGTTAAGATCCAGCTATGTGATATTTAAAGGTACAAATCTAAGTTATAAGGCTACAGATAAGCTGAGAAATACAAAGTAACAGAAGCGTTTTGAAGATTTATCAACAACAGCTGGATGTGGTGGCACACACTTGTAATCCCAGCACTCCGGAGGTTGACGTAGGAGGAGTGCTATGAGTTCAAGGCTGGTCTGGACTACATAGTTCAAGGCCAGCCTTGAATATATAGCAAGACCCTATCTCAAAAAACAAACAGAAACTTACTAGTAACATCCAAAAAAACCCCATGAAAATCTCCAAAGGTAGCCAGGCGTGGTTACCTCACACCTGTAATCCCTCCTACTGAGGCACATAGATCATTGAGTTCCAGGACAGCCTCAGCTACAAAGAGACTTCAAGGCCAGCCAGAACCACATAGTGAAACCCTGTCTCAAAAAGACCCCCCCAAAAAAATCCCCAAAGGCAAAAAAAGTTATGAAAAAGGACTGCTATATAATGAAAAATTTAATACATTATAAACATAAAATAGTTCTAAATTTATATGGACCTCATAAAAATCGACCCATGATTAATAGAATTCAAAACCTATTAATAAGTATTTAGAAATCCATCCATATAGTGGGATGGGAGACTTACAACACTATGAAATTTTGAATAGACAATGTATTTCCAGTTCAAAATGCAGAGGATATAAAAAGGTACACTATTGAAACTTTCCCTCCAGTCTTTGCCTTTGATTTGCCTACTTTCAGTATGGTTTCATTGTTACCCAGAATTCCTTTGCATATAGAAACAAATATAAAAATCTACCCCCTCCTCTTTTAAAATGTGGAAGGTAACATATTCATTATTCTGCAACTTACTTATTTTCACTTATTAGATCTTAAGATCTTTCCATAGTGGATTGGCAAGAATTGCCTCATTATTTATGGTGTACTGCACTTCCCTGTATGGATAAACCTTGTTTAACCAGTCCTCAACTGATAACCATTTGGCTGTTTCCCACTGTTTTCAGTCACAGAGACTGCTGCCATGACTAACCTTTTATGTTTACCATTTGCATGTGGGTCATCCCCCAAAGAGTAATTCTTGAGTAGTGTATTCATTTGTGACATTTACAAATAGGTCTCTATTGCCTCCTATAGCAGCTGTTCTAATATTTACTGCCACCAACAGTGACTGAGAGTATCTTGATACCCTGCACACCAGAATGTTACCAAATGTTTGCATATCCGATAGGTGATAAATGCTATTCTGTCATTTTAATTTTTGTCTTATTATGAATCTGAGTAATTTCACACATTTAAAGCCATTTGTTTTCCCTTTTAATGTCTATCCCTGTTTGTTTTCTTTTTCCATTCTTCTGTGGCGCTGGTATGCTAGTGCTGGTCAAGAGAGCCCATTGTTAAATTTGCAGGAAATTTTTACACTAATTAACATTGTATCAGTAGCCTGAAATTGGGGATGGAGGGAAATATGTGCACCCTGGACACTGGGGACACTGAACTCAGTAGAATCTCTGCGTTTATAGTGAGTCACATGCTAGCATGCCGCTGGACTTCTTATGGATGCTTTTACATATGAAGGAAATTAGGCCTTTGTGATATAAATTGCAAGTAATTCTTTTTAATTTGTCTTTTTCTTGAATTTGCTCATAGTTTTCTTTTTGGTGTGTGAAGTTTTAAAAAATTATCGAATTGTCGAATTTATCATGGTTTACTGTTACTGTTCATTTGCATTGTGGGGTTTGAACCCAGGGCCTCAGACATGCTAGGCAAGCACTCTACGTTGAGCTATACCCTAAACTCCTCAATTTTTTTTGAAGTTTTCTAATTTCAGATTATAAAGGACTTCTCCACTGTGAGTTGCAAAGGAACTCTTTTTCTTTTAAAATGTTTATGGTTTCTTGTTTTCCATTTTAATTTTAAGGGTATAAATTGTGAAGTATGGATCTAATTCATTTTTCCAAAAACATTAGAAAATTAGATTCAGTACTAAATTTTTACATTCTGACACACTGTGCTGTACTCATATCAATTCTTGTGGATTGAAGCAAAGACAAAACGTAGAGGGGAAATCTTAAGTTTTTCCTGTAAGACTGGGTTAGAAGTTTGTTTTCAATTTTTAATAGAAGAACAGAGCAAACTCAAGAATAGAAAGAAAATAGTGCTCTGCGGGGTTAGTAAAAAGGATTACTTTTTAGGCTAAATAGGTAAGATTTTAAAAATCTTTTTGTAACTTGAAGAAGGAAGTTAAGTTCAGTTGTTTTTCCACGTTCATTTGATGCGACTGATTCACTTGTTTTAGCTCAGTGACTGAGGAGAATCAAAGGTCCTCACTCACAGCCCAGCCAGAGAGATGCAGGTGCCTAAACCAGTCCTGGGACATTAGACAGATAAGTCTCCCTTGTTTCTCTGTTCCCTTCTCTTAAAATGGGGAGCAGTCCATATGTTGTGAGGGTTCTGAGCTGACATATGTGCAATTGCAAATAGAGTAAATAGCTTTTAATTTCTGAAGATTTTAGCATTTGTATACATGTTTCCTTAAACCTCTTAAACGCCATCGATTTCAGTTTTGTTTCTTTTGCTCTTTTATTGTTCCTTACCTCCATTACTTAGACCTTCTTCAAGACTTAGGATTTGTTTTTCTGTATTCATTTGTGAGATGCCAGGGTAGAAAAGATTTTGCACAATTTAAAAAGCCCGTGGGAGTTTAGAGTGGTTCCCTTTCCCTATCAGACCCAATTCTGATTGGATTATAGAAAGAGAGGCATTTTATGTTCCCGTAAAACCACAGAAGCCCACCCTAAGGCAAACTTTGAACAAACCTTCACTGTCAATTGCTTCCACGTGGTCATGTGGCATGGGACCTCTTGAAGAGCACCTGGCTCATGGGTGCCCACTTCCCCATGTGGTTGGCCCATCAGTCCCCCTTGTTCCTGGTGTGGGTTTTTTTCTCAAATAGGTCACATCTACTGACAGTGTTACGGAAACATCGTTTTTGCTATGTCCTCCAGGTCGGATCCGTACAAGACGGCAGAACTCTGGGAGTACCACCAATGTCGCCTCTAATGCCACCGACAGTCGGGGTCGCAGTCGTGCTAAAGTTGTTTCTCAATCTCAGCGTAAGAAGTATACTTTATGCTCTCTATTATCTTAGCTTCATTCGGTACCTCCTTTTGCACTTACAGTTCACAGTGTTTGCACTGATCTGAGGGGAGGAAATGTTTTTATGGCTCTAAGATACTGTGAATAATTAATTACATTGTTGTTTGGTAAGCTTGCAAGATGAAATGTTGAGTCAGGCACACTTTCATCTTTCCAGGGATTTAAGTTTTGTGTTTTAAAATTAAACATTGTTCTCTCCCTATAGTAGAAGTCTGTCAAGTTGAAACCTATCTGTTCTGTGATCCATGTTGGTATCAGTAACCCTTCTGAGATACTTTTAGAGCAGAACCTGGGCAGAACTATAAATGCCAAGTTTTTTCCAGTAGTGAATAAGTAAATCTATGAAAAGCTCCTCTTTTAACACTCTGTGCTAACACTTGTGGCCTGCACCTGTCTTCTGGTCAGTGTGGGCTCTTGTTTCTTCTAGTTTGCTTTCATGGTTGCTTTTCTGTGTATGTGGAGTCAGTTAGCTTGCTAGCCTCAGCCAAGAAAGCACTGTGGTCGGAATGGATTTACTCTGACCACCTTGCTGCCCACACTGTGAATGGCATGCCTCTTCCCTGCACGAGGAGCACAGCTGTCTGGTAGAGTTCTCCTGAGCAGGGTAAGCATGGGGAGGGAGTCTCCTGTCTCCAGGAGCCACACCCAGCTCAGCACCTTACCTTACATGAGTCTGTGCCACAGTGGCAGTGTGGCCATCTGGCTTGTAGAGAGCACTATCTGTAGCCAACCCTTAGGCACTCCTTTAGTGTTGAGAAGGCCTTTTGGAGCTCCTTCTGAATTTAGATCCTTTCCCATGTCCCTTTTGGTGATTATAGTCTGTTGGAGACCACTACAAAGTGGCTCTGAGCAGGATTTAATATTAAGCAATTGGCTTTTCATGTTTGCTTGTGAGTTGTCCGAAGCTTAGATACCTTGTCTAAAGATGGGCAGAGGACTCATAGTAAGTAAACCTGTATGAGTCATGGGTCACCCTTGAGGCCCGTATTGGCCTCTGAAGCTATGACACCTCAAAGGACAAGATAAGGCCACAGCTGAAGACATCTGGCTGCAACCCCAATTAACTTGAAGGAGACTGTAGCTGCAGGCATCTCTCTCCTGCTGTGAAGGCCTTCCTGGAGATGGCATAATTCTCCTAAATTAACATCATGTATTACTTGGAGAAGTCCTTAAAGGGTTTCCAAGTCCTGCTCAGATTCCTACATTTTCTTCAGTATCCCCCTCCTTTATTTGTAGACCAAATAAATACGGGCTGCCCAGAGACATCTTTATCTAAACTCAGAGAATATCAAAGCTATGAGAAAGAGAGAGACCCTCCTGGAGCCCTGAAATCATTTCAGTTGTCTCATTTATTTAATCCTTTGCAGTCCATTCAGTTGCGGGCCTGATCAGCCCGCAGTAACTAAGGGTTATTTAACCCAATAATAGTCTTCATGTTAAACAAGCTTAGCTCTTCTTTGCAAAGATAGTGAAAGATTGTATTACTGTCCTTGTTGAGGGCATGGAACCTTTGGATGTAGGCTGTCTTGTGTAGTGTGGTACATTACAAGTGTGGTCTTCAGTGCCGGCACATCCAACTCCTTTGCATCCAGGCCTTGGAGTGGTGTTCAGCTAATCTCTTAACCCATGTGAGCCTTTGTTTTGCTGTCTGTGAGTTGCTAACAAGGCTGGCTGCATGGGGCATGATGAGGATGTGGTGACAGGGATGAGGCTAAGCAGATAGTCAGTGAACAGAAGCCAGTTTTAGAGCCATAGTAACTACACAGTGGAGAACTCACCTCCCATTTGTAGTTGAGAAAACTTCTCCTTTATTCCTGTCTACTTCCATAGGCTCAGGAAAGAAGGTTAGGGGTAGATTTCTGTGAATACAGTGAGGCTAGATTGAGTCCATTAGGACAAGGATGCCTTACTTACTATACACCCTTACCTAGATTTTCATCCAGATCCCTGGTACAGGTGTAGCTCAGAAGCTTCTGCCATGGGAACTTCGTTCTTCTGTTGAGATGTGGTCCCTGGAGACACAAAAGAATATAATATTGCAATCATGACCCATAAACATGGGTCAAGTCTTATTGGAAGGAATTCTTGACCAAAAGTGTTCAGGTCTTAGAAGATAAATTAATGCAATAAATTTAAGGTGGTAAAGATGAAAATTCCTTCTCTAGTGGGACAGAAGGGGATGGTACAGCTTTAAGTCTTGAGACTTACTCTGAACCTTGCCTTGGGGCCCACTTTGAAAGCTGTTTAGTTTTTCCTCACTTGCCAAATCACACCCACAGGAAGGTGGACCACCAAACAGCAGCACATGATCATGCTTGTACCTTAAGCTTATGCATATAAATTATTTGTAAAATTTATTTTACCAAGACATGAATATATGCATATCTCTATATATTACAAATGTAGATGCACTGATATTCATAGTCTTGGCTTAATATTAAGTAGACTTTATTAAGGACCTTAAAATTGGCATATTTTGAGTATTAGAGGATTGAAGAGTAATAGGACATTAAGGTAAACTCAGTTAATAGCTATAACTTTTTACTATGGATAAGCACTGTTGAAGATGGTAGTAACACACCAATGAGTTCAGTTACACGCGCTCCTCTCGGTGCTCGTAGCTGGAGGGGAGATGTGGTCTGGCAAGGCAAGATGATTGTCTTGTTCTCTCCATGTCTCTTAGCAAGCATTGTGCCTGGCATAGTGTAGATTTATTTTTATTTTTTAACAGATCTGAAATAAATGCTAATCCAGTGTAGTAAGTACAAAATAAATACAAGAATATGAATAGACTAGGAGGAACAAGTTCTAAGAAAAATAGCTATTTTGCTAATGTATTTGTGAATAGGATACTCATGTTGTGTTGCATGCTGACCTTTTGTATTGTGTTATTGTCTTTTGATTCACTTTTTGCCTGTACTTTGCTCTGCTCTCATAATCAAGGATCCAGATCTGCTAATCCTGCTGGTGGTAAGCCATTTCTCTTCTTGCTTTTTTTTGGCATTTTCCCTCACCCTATGTATTAAGTCCTTTATTATGAGCTTCACTAATCTTTCTGCATTTTTTCTGTATGTTTAAATACTAGAGTTTGAGGTGGGTTTCTTTTCTCCCCTTTTGCACAGTTTAGTAGTTTATGTGCATCCTCAGATTTATAGACAAAATTAATAGGTCCTGAGACAGTTCATGTATATTGATGATTTTTACAGTGATTTTTTTCACTTCAAATTATTAATCATTTTAAAATGTTAATTTTTTGTGCAGTCCCCCAAGTTATTCATTTGATGGCAGTTTTACTATATAATATAAAGCTTTTGAAATCTATTATTTTTAAATGGTATATTTTAAAATTCTATGTATGTACCCATGTGTATGTGTATATATATGTGTATATATGTGTATGAAAATATGCATGCATGTATATATGAATGCTTACCAGGTAAGTGTTGTTTTAAAGACTTTCTTCTTCTGGGTCATTTCAGTACATAATGTGTGTTTTACATGATTCTGGTCATAAACCAAATCAAATTCAGTGGTTAGGTTCAATGTTCACCTTATGTGGAAATTTGATTCCGTTTTTAGCTAATTCAGTTTGCAACCACAATCGTGGAAAGATTTAAGTTCATGAACTGAGATACCACTGTAAACTAGCCACATTTTCTATGACTACTGATATATTTGAGCCTATTCCTACATCTCATTTTATAATTATTTTTACAATATTGATACCTATTTTATCCCACTGTCTTTTTTTCTTCTGTTTGTTAGATTAATTGAGTTTTCTTGGATTCATTTTCTCCAACAATGCTTAAGAAGTAAGCATTATTGCTGTTCAGAAGTTTCACTTAAATTTTAATGTACACTTATAGGACAGTGAAACAGCTGGGGCTGGAGATGTAGCTCAGTGGAAGAGCACTTACCTGGCATGCTGAAGGCCCTGGGTTTGTCCCCAGCATCACTGAACAAAACAAGAAGCAAATACCTTGTGGTTAGTTTAGAGCTTTGCTGTGGAGCAGGGGAGACGTTGCTGGTATCCTAGTCTTTTGAATTAGAACTTATACAGTCATTGCTGTAGAACGCCACCAGTGACACTTCCAAGCCTAGATATACTTTTATGATGATAACATTCTTTCATATACTTACATTTTTATTTTTTTTAATTTTTGTTTTGTTTTGTTTTTGCGGTACCGGGGATTGAACTTACGACTTTGCACTTGCCATCCTATACCTACATTTTTAAAGAATTAGTACTACCATGAACTGAAATGCTGTTTCTACATAAAATTCTCTTAACATTTGATCCAAATTGATGTATAAAAACTTTTTCTGGAGTTCTTATAAATTATTGCTCAGTTTACATCTGTCATTCATTTTTGTTTTGCTTTCTTTTTAGCTGGCAGCCGGTCGAGTTCCCCAGGAAAATTGTTGGGAAGTGGTTATGGAGGTCTTGCTGGGGGTTCCTCAAGAGGCCCACCTGTGACACCATCTTCAGAAAAACGCAGCAAGATTCCCAGGAGTCAGGGATGCAGCCGAGAAACAAGTCCAAACCGAATAGGACCAGGTGAGGGTTTTCAGACTGTGGGACACTATTCTCAGCTTGATCACAATCTTCATTCTAATCTAATGACTTTGTCTATTGCAGGAAACAGAGATCTGCAGTAAGGTTGAAATAAGGTTGTTACTTTGTGTTAAAAAGATGTTTTGACTTATTCTGTATACAGATTATGGCACGTTGGTATCGTTTAGTACCCAAAAAATGTGGGACTTATGGTCCGAATTAATGAGAAGGAATTAGATCATTATAAACTTTTGTGATTTATAGTTGTTTTGTAAAATTTTTGATGGCAAAACGGACAAGGGCTTTCTCTTATAATTTGCAGCGTTACTTTTCTTTCTTTCAACTAACCATTAACCTATATTAATTTTCAAAAACAATTTCAAAATCAATCCCCATTAATTTTTTTTTTTTTTTTTTTTTTTTTCTCCGGTACCAGGAACCGAACTCACGACCTTGCGCTTGCCAGGCAGGCGCTTTTGCCGCTGAGCTAAATCCCCAGCCCAATCCCCATTAATTTTTATTTTGATCTTCTGTCACCTCCCTGGTGAAGCTTATGATATAGATACTTTTGACACAATTTTTTTAAAACATCAACTCTAGGAATGATGAAGTCCAGTACATTCTGTATTGTAACATTTGGCTTTTTTGTAATAGTTTGTAGTCATATGAATTACACCCAGTTTAAAGACACTTTATTAAAATCTAACATCTAATATATAAAAATTTTAACATTTTTCACTTTATCTTTATCTGCTTTCTAAAGTAAAACTCAATATAAAATCAGAGTACTAGGTCCTTAAATTCTAGTGGCTTACCTGTCACATTTATTCGTTGATCTTAACAAGTTTTACTTAAATGTTTACTGTGATATACTGGGCACTTTGTTTGACTTGATAATTAAAAGATCAATGAAATAAATCTAGCTTCTGACCTAAGAGTCCTTATCATCAATTGGTTAGACGTGAAAATGTAAAACTGTTCCAAGTACTCTGAGTACTGAAAATACTTGTATCTTAGCCCCTTGTCCACCCCAATCCTTCTAGACATTCTACTAAGGGAGGCCTCCAAGAATAGGTCCTGTTTTTAGTATAAGGTGGGACTAGCCAGGATGGAGACATAAGAGGAAGATGTTCTAGGGAAGCAGGAAGCTAGTGCAGAAACAGTGGGGCAAGAGGAAGCCACAAGGAATCCATTTTGCTCCCCCAAATTGTAGGGGCAAGGAGTGGACGGGTAGACAAGAGCATAGAGATAGGAGGGTTCTAGCTCAAGAAAATCCTTGGAGGTCCCTGAGCCAGGACGGATCAGGGGCAGATATTTAAGAATGGGTAAGATTTGGTTTGAATTCATATTTCCAAGACAAGATGAAAATTTGTGGTGGGTTTGTTAACTTCTCCATGATGCCATTTTTCTGTTGGTGCTATGTGGCATGGTTTCTGAGCTGACAAGTTGTTTGGGTGTTGATGTGGCTACAACCAGCCAAAAGGTCGAAGCAAGAATATCTCAGTTTCTCCCTTGATGTTGCAACATATCTCTGGGTCTGTTTTTATTTGGAAGACCTTCAAATTTTAAACCTAGGGGTGAGGTTTCAGCTGTTCTTTTCCACATGTTATTATTATTTTATTTTTAAAACTTCTTTTCTACTTAGGATTTTTTACATATATTTTTTAAAGATGCTGTTTTTACCTTCTTGAAATTAGAAAATAACCCAACTTGGGTTATTCAGCTTAACTCTAAGACTTGGAATTCCATGGTCTAACTGTGAAGTTCATGTTGTGTATAGTTGAAAAGACAGCATTTTATAAGCTTTTAAAATGGAGTATTATGAAGCATGACTCAAAATTAAAAAGGAGCTTACTTCCTTCCAAAGATTTCTTATTCAAAGTATTATTTTAAAGAAAGTTAAATTGTTGATGCTTGTTTGGAGGATTAGTAATGTGTGAAGATTTGAGATACTATATACAGTTCTGATTAACGAAGATGTTTTATTTAAATTTCTATACATTTTCGAGAATATATACATATAAAGAAATACATATGAGTAAAGTGTATTTTTCCACTTACTCCTACAGTACTAGAGATTCCATTTTACAGGGTAATAGGCATATATTAACACTTTTCCAATAATGGATTATTACTGTCATTATAAACATTTGGTTGATTATATAGCAGTTTTAAATACAAATATCTAGAAAAGAGGCAGCATCTTTTAAGAATATTTTCTAAAATTCCCAAACCAGTCAATTCAGCCGTGTTTAGCAATAGGTAAACTAGGCTTAGAACTTACACCGAGGGTTAATTCTAGTAATCTACAAGTTATGTTTTAATCAGTTATGCCTTTTTTGTTTATTTGAAATGATATTTCTCAACTAAATTTTCTTTTCTCACTTGTTACAAAAAAAATGCCAGTGCTTTTCTTTGGCATTTAAGATTTCTTAAAACAATTTTATTTCCCATTGGATTACCAACTATTTGGGAAAATATATTTGTAAGTTATCATTGTTTTGTATTTTAAAGACAAGAAAGAGATTTACAGATAATAAAGTCACATAAATAACCAGCATCGTTAGTAATTTTATTTTAGCTGTTTTCCTTTGGTTCCCTTTTTCATTAGGCTATTAAAAATACATGACATTTTTGCAGATGGCATTTTATGATTATACATTTAAATGTTTTAAGATTTTCTGGTTAAAAATATTCTTGGGGAATTAAAATTAAATAGTTCATTTTAACTGTGAAATTAGACTTACTGTGACATGAAAATGTCTAAACTAGAATTTCCCGTCTTTAACTTCTAGTTTTCATTAACCTTCTTGTACTTCTGCTCTTGGTGTGAATTCTGGTTGTATCCATCCTTTTAAAAGCAAAAGTCAGGATTACCTTTAAAATACTGAAGGTAGGAAAGAGTCTCTGTCAGAATGAAAACAGATCAAGTGTTTATTCAAGGCTTCCCAGCACTACTGTAAGCACGTGACTCAGCTACCTAGGAATACTGCTTTAGAAAGTTCAAAGGCAAGTGTGTTTTCATTGTGTCTCTTCCTCTTATGCTTCTCCTCCACATCATATTCTCCTGTAGAATGTTCAGTTTTGGCACATGATAAACAAATGGACTTATTCTATGGTTTTTTTAATTGTTTTTTATTTTAAGTTTTAGCTGTAAAATAATTTGTGTACAGTTATTTTAAATCCTCTTTTCTAGGTTATCAGTCTTTGGAAGTAGTGTTATAAGTGAGGAGGTGTTTTTCGTCTTGTGATTTAAATTATCCAGCATTTGAACTACTGATTTCAACTATTTAATAAGGTGTGGGGCAACTATGGGTAGAGTTTTCATAGAAGTGTAAACAGAGTTCTTTTTCTGTGTGCTACTATTGGCCAGATGTTAAAGGAGCCAGTCAGTACAAATAAGGAGGATGAACTTTCTGGATAAAATACTAAGAGAGTAAACCTAGTTAAGAAGTTTATATATGCAGTTCTTCAGTTTACATCAGTGTGTCATTATTAACACACTATTTTCTTAGCAAAGCAGGCTCACCCCAGAGAAAGAGCATTCATTTTTCTTTGCTGTTGCACATATATGAAGTTGAGGTTAGGGCTTGGGTAAAAATTCAGAAGTAGTCTGATACGAACTATTAAGAAAATGTTGAACTTAGCATGTACTTATATGAAAAGGACTGCTTTTGGGCTGGCTTTAGCCCAGTAGTTCCTTCAATGATACCTACTTAATCACCTGGTCTGAGGGCTGCTTTTATTTCTTTTTGATTGTCTGTTTTGGAGTAGATATTAGAATAAGACATGATTTTTAAGCATGCATTTACCAAAGATTTCAGAAATACTTACATATGTCCATTGTCTTGTAGTATCCATCTCATTTAAGTGATGAGATGCTTACTCTTCTTTTTCCTAAAGGGAAGTTGATACCTGGACAGGCCAGGTGGTTGGACCAGTGAGGTGGCTTAGAATTGGAAAGGTCACTTCATGATGTCCTTCAAAGATAAGCAGTATTGCTTTGTATATTCTAGGAAGCTTCTCCATATTGGTGGGGTTGGTAGACACTCTAGTTTTTTGATGGATTTACTTTGGCACTTACTATTTTTGCCTTCCTTGTAAGAACTGTTTAGAATGTTGCCAAGAATTGCTGAGTATATAGTCACTACCAGTTTGAATGAAAATGCATAGATTTCATGTCATTCTGACAAAAGTAAGGAGAGTAGAAACTTTCCAGTGAAGCGTAAGCCCTGTTTGGCCCATTTTCAGACTGCATTTCTGTACCAGACCTTCCCTTGCCTAAGCATGGGAATCTCACTTACCAGCCTTCAGGACTGTGCTCAGCCCCAGCACGGAGCACCGGTGCACAGGAGGGCGTTCACTTCACTTTTTACTTGCACATTCTTCACTAGGGAGCTTCATGATTCTGGTTTGTAAGACATTCTTGTTAGGCTGTACAACAAATCTTTGCTCTGAAATAACAGATTGTGCTCATCACAATATAGAAAACTCTCATTTACGTCAGTAAATCATTTGTTATTTCCAGAATCTCTGAGAAGGTAATTTCTATCCAGACTAAGAAGTGGTAAATCTCTTGGGATGGAAATGTATACTGTCCCCAGTAGCTGTTACCTTCAGCATTTCAACTACACACATTCAGTGTGCAGTGTTGTTTTTGAGTGTTGTGCCTGTTAATTTACCTCTGTTTCCTCAGGTTAAATTGAGGAAATAAGGGTATCATGGTCTTTATAAGTTTCACAACCAAATTATTATTAGACCACAGGCTGTTTATACAGTTCTGCATTATAAGCTCAAATTTTTATACCATGAGAAGAATAAGCATTATCCATAGATAATTATAAAGTAATGAATTGTTCTCAGGTCAGGGAGGGATCTTTTGCCCAAATACTTATCAAGATAATCAGTCCCCATGTTACAGATTCAGTGGGGAAGAATGAATCCATGAAGGTGCTTTAGAAGGGACCACAGGCAGATCTATGTGGATTTCCATAGGAAAAAACCACAGATTGACTGTTGGGGCAGGAAATAAAAAGGTAGCGTTTTGATTAATGAGTGTGTTTGAAGCATCTGCATTTCACTGGGAGTGGGCAGGCCTCCAGGTGGGCTGACATTTGGCTTCTCTTTTAAAGAAGCCCAACTGGGAGAAGGGCGCTCTCTTGCCTTTAACTATGTAAGTTTGTGGACTTCAGTGACCAGAGCCTATATTATGGCTCTGATTTAATCCAAATTAAATTATCTTTTCAAGAACTAAGTGCCTATGAAAATAGCTTTGATTTTTTTTTTTTTTTGCCCTTTTTTTGAAAAGTTAGCTGGAGCCAGAAAAACTGATCATTTTTAAGCTTTTGATCATTTCCAAAGTTTGTTCTTTGGAATGATTTCATTGAGTGTAATTTTCCTTTTATACTAAAATTCACACTTTCTCAGGCATTGAGCATAATCAAGTTTATCCACAACCCCTCCTATTGGCACCTCAGTCAGTGAGACCTCTGCTCTCATAAGTGGTCCAGTCAACGGAATGCCCCAGCACAGACAGTGTCATAATTACAGTAACCAAATGTGACTGCCGTTTTGTGAGTTTTTCTGTCTTCATTAAATTAAACTTGTTCACCTTCTCTGAAACCCCTCATGCTGCACGCTAGCACGGAGCAGCCGTATCCCTCGACCCAGCATGAGTCAGGGGTGCAGCCGCGATACCAGCCGTGAGAGCAGCCGAGATACAAGCCCTGCTCGGGGCTTTCCTCCACTTGGTGAGTACACGGAGGCGCTGCCCAGGAGCGGAGAGTTCCTGTCCCTGCTCCCATGCTTGTCCGAGACACTGCTGGGTGGAATGACTGCTTCTCCTCCTTCGCTGTCCTGTGATCCTTTCTTCTCTTTCCTCTTCCTTAATCACCCTTCGTTGTCCCCCTCTGCATGCTTGAACTTCAGCAGCTCCCAGTTTTCATATCTCAGAGGAAAAAAGCACCACTTCACTCTGCTCTCATCATTTGTAGCCAGTTGCTACCAGAGAAGCCTGTCCTTGTAATTTACAACTTAAGGCAAAATTCAGCCAAAGTTGATTGCTGCTTGAAAGTAAGGTTGACCCAGGGTTTATTCCTGGTCATACAATTTATCTTTGATTTTACTAGAGATCAGTTTATATGTGATTTAATTCAAAGGAAACGGAAGTACAATAGTGATGACATTCAGAAAGCTAAATGAAGCCAGGTGTGCCAGTGCACACCTGTAAATCCCAGCACTGGAGGGCTGAGGCCAGGCGAGTCTCAAGTTCAAGCCAAGCCTGGACAATTTAAGCAAAATCTTGTCTCAAATTTTTTTTTAAAAAAGGACTGGGGATATGGTTTAGTACAAAGGCCCTGGGTTCAAATGCCAGTGCTACAAATAAATAAATAAATAAATAAATAAATAAATAAATAAATAAAATAAAAATTATGTGATTTTTCTTGTTAACTTTTAATAGTCCTGCTCTTAAAAATGGATATGCACCTTTTATCTAGTACAGCACTAGTACTTTGATCCTCAGAGGCATCTGTAAATACATACTTTTATGAAAAGGACAATTTTGTATTCTTCAATGATAATTTTTTAGTTCTTTGGCATATTAAGTGCTGTATAGATGTATATTTTTCTTTTGATAAACATAAAAAGTAGAAATCATTTTTACAATAATTAGACCTAGCCAGATGTGGGGGTACATGCCTGTAATCCTAGCACTCAGAGGCTGAGGCAGGCAGATAGCTGTGAGTTTAAGGCCAGCCTGGGTTATATAGTGAGACCTTGTCTCAAAAACAAAACAAAACTAAAAAAAATAGGCCTAAAACTGAAATTATCCCATGGATCATGGACTACATTGATCTGTTTTTGACCATATGATTATGCAACTGGTCTTTTAACTATATAAATGCTACTTTAGGAGAAGAATGTCCCACCAAATGCATGCGGTCTTCCTACTTGCCTCTTCTGTTACCCACACACTTCCTCAGTTATCTTTTTTTCCAGTCACTGTCAGTAATCAGAATCTAGATGATTGCCTTGATAACCCATTATCCTTTATGAGGTACTAAAAAAGAGTAGGTCACACAAGCCAATGCCCTGCTAGATGACTGCTTGACTTAGTGATTCCTTGCCTTATGTTGCAAGATGCTCTGCTGGATTTGCAGGAGCTCCTCATGGGGCAGCTTACCTATGCATGTCAGCTATTCCACAGCAGCTGGACGCTTTGGAGCAGAATTCTCAATAAATCAGGTGTGGCTATGGTTTTTTTTTCTGAATGAACTGGTGTGATTTTTCCTTTTAAATTAAGGCTGTATATCTATGCATCCTTGCTCACTATTTGACCTTCAAAGAATCTATTATATGAGTAAACAAGTCCAGTCTGTTTATTGATTATTTTGTCTCTTAGAAGCAATGCACTGTTTTATTTCATACATGTGCTGGTATTTTAAAAATTGTCTGTGGAAGAAGCCTTTGTAATCTGGCATGTGGCCTATGGACCAGGCAAGATATGCTGAATTCTTCTAAAGTCCTAATGAACCCTGTGTAATTGGGTCATGACATCTTGGTTTTTTTTTTGTTTCTTGGTTTTGTTTTGTTTTTAACCTCCAGATAAATGGATCTGCTTAACTGTCTTGGTGATAACCCAAGATGTTGAGATGCACAGTTGCTGCAACCCAGGCAGCAGTTTCTAGCGTTAGCTAATTTTTTCTGTTGTGGTCAGTGACTGTCTTTTGATACACATTTGAAGACCTTTTTGCCCCATGGGTTAAACCTGTCTCTAAAATTTGTGTCCAGCAGAAGCATCCACAGTGCCTATGCATACCTGTACCGTTTGGAGCAGTCAGCAGATAGCATTCTTTATGCTTCTGCAGTAACTCTAAGACAGGTTTCGCCATCTGAGTCTTAATGAGTAAGCGACATTCTCAAGATCACACACCTAAGTGGTGGAGCCTGGGTTTGCATGCAGGTTTGACCAGATCTACCTCTTCTGAAAGTACTTCTGATAATTTAGTGTCTGTCATCTGTCCCTCAGCAGTGTACTAATGCTTTTTGTGAGGCCCATGCAGGTGTAGGCACTTAGAAAGTGGTCAAGACATGTTGCTGAGTTGATGATTCCCAGGCCTGAGTTTCAGATCTGGGGATGCAGAGAAACATTACAGAAGAGTGTTGTCCACTGGGCACCTCCTACACCTTCTCTGAAGGCTCCTTCTTTTTCTTGTTCATTTGAATAATGACTTCTCACCTCTTTTGGAAATTAGTAAAATTGTGTGTCAGCGCCCCTTTGAATCTACTTACGTAGCCAACCTTTGTTACTATTGTTGTTTAAAAAAAAACATTAATTGTTGTAATTATGATTCAGTGAATCCCCATTACACAAGGGATTAGTTCCTGGATCTTCTGTGGATATCAAAATCTGCAGATGTTCAGATCCCTTATAGAAAATGGCATCATATTTGCACATAACCAACACATACCCTGTCATCTGCCTTAATATGTCTAGATTATTAATAAATCCTAGTACAATGTAAATGTTCTCTAAATAGTTGCTATTTTGTATTCTTTAGAGAATAATGACAAGAGTCTGTACATGTTAAATACAGACAGTTTTTCTCCAGTCTGCAGTTGGTTGAATCCAGAGAGGTGAAACCTGCAGTGAAAAGACCAACTGTATATCATATTTTTAAGTTTATATAATTGTTTTGAAGCATCTTAGTGGTATGAATATATGAATGTATGTTTGCAGTCACGTTTCTAAAGTGAGATTAAGGGCTTCAAGACTCTGCTGTACATCAAGCTTTGACATAAATGGGTCCACCTCAGGTTCCATCTTTGGGTATTCTTGGAGTACTCATAGTATTCATTTTGTGGCAGATTTACTGTAGAATATTAATGTCAAAAGAGAACCAAAGGATCACTTCATAAAGAACCTATGGATCAGATATTGCTTAAAAACTCTTTTCAGTTTAAACTACCATATGGTACTGGTGTGCTCATATAATAAATGTGTGGTTTGTTCCAGTATTGACAAAACATTTTACTAACTCCCTTTTCCAGGAAAATGATGAATTTATAGTATGTTTTAGAGATTGCTAATTTATTTCATGTTTTCATGAATCTTGAAGAAGGAGGTATTTCCTTTTCTCTTTGCACTCAGGTAAAATTTGTCTTTATTGATTGGGTAACCTTTGCTGTTTATTTAATACCACATATACCACAGATGTACATGGTTGAGGTTTTGAAATTTTGTGACTAAATGTGTAAGTGATAATGTGTACAGAATATTACAGTAGCATGGATGAAAGGTAGGACTGCTCAGTTCTGACTTTGTTAAACTATGAACTTCCTGTGGTTTAATCACCCTGACTTTTTCAGAATAATGGATGGAGGAATGTTATCCTTTGGTTTTTTTCCTGAGATAATAATGCAAGGCTATGTATTGCATTAAACTGTGACCAATAGTTCGTCAGTGTTTTAAAACAAGTCTTTATTTCATGATCAGTTCTAAAAGCTACTCTCTTTCCTCATGAAGACAATATTTAGCATTTGTTTCCTCAGCTTGATGAATTAACATATTAATTATGAATACTTGCTAATAAAATAATATTTTATTGTCTAAGTGTAAGTTGGAGTTTACTTTTTAACCTTTACTACTATGACCAGCTCTCTGGACTCTGTGCTGGCGTGATACCAAATGCTTTTTATGTGATCTCTTTTAATCCTCTCAGTTACAACCAAGAGGTAGGTACCTTTATTGGCACCATTCTACAGATTTAGAAACTGACAGATTTAGTACTGAGAGGTCCTACAGCTAGCTGTGAAAGCCAGGCTGTACAGTTGTGTTTCTAAGCTAGTACTCATAAACAGAGTACTGCAATGGCCTCTCCAAGGAAGGTTCTTATATTTACTACTGTTGAATTTCCAACAGTTAAACAAGTACATTGATAGTTAGGACATTTGTGCAACAGAACAACAAACATTTTGACTGGGAAAAATGGAATTCCAGCTGTTGAGCCTCTTCCTGTGATTTCATTCAGTTTCTGTTTAAGTAACATTATGAACCTCTCTGCTTTTGTTTTCGGTGCATGGTGGCATATGCATCACATACTGATGATACATCTCGTGAGCTGAGTTAATGATCCATCTTCCTGCTCTCCACTCCGAGGTTTTAGACAGTGCTCTGTGACTCCTGGTGTTTTTCATGTGGCATATTTCCATAATGGCTGATCGAGGCTTCATGGCGTGAATCTAAACCTGGAGTCCAGTCAGCCAGTGCATCCTTAAAGAGTGTAGGGAGCACCTTAAAGAGTGCCCCTGTCATGCCTGTGTGTCTAAGAGCTATATGAGAGCCAGCAGCCACTGCGCAGGCTGGGGTGGCACTTGCTGTTTATTCATATCCAGCACCATTTCTTTTCATGAGAAAGCGCGGCCTTGTTGGTAGCAGTCCCTGCATTTCCTTGAGTACTTGTGTGTTAACCCTGTGGGTGTTGCCGTTCCTTTTACCTGCAGCCTCTCGACGTCATTCCAGGTCCACTAGTGCTCTCTCCACTGCTGAATCTGTTGGGCAGTCAGGTGAACAAGTGCTAACTGCATGACTCGGCTTCTTCATCTGTTCTGGCTCCACACTCTGTTAACATTTGTTTTTGTCTGTGTCAGCTAGCGCTTGGCATGTGTGCACCTCATACTTGTTTTCTCCAATGTGCTTTTTTTTTTTTAAGTTGGTGAATGTTTATAGTTCTGTTAATAGGCCATAGATGCTGTATCGCCTGTTTGACAACATCATTTCTCCAATGTTCATATTTATGTCAAAACAAAAAACAGGGAAGAACCTCCTATCAGCCCTTTCTAGGAAAACAACCACCAAGACTAGGTGCCACACAGGGTCCCTGTGGGGAAATGGGGTGGGGATATCATCCAAGAGTCTTTTATCCCCAAAGTCTTTGTTCCCAGGATAGTGTGAAACGTTAACGTTCGTTAGTGTCACGTTCCAATTATTTTGAGGTACTATTTAATTACCAGCACTTCAAATTATAGCTTGTGTAATTTCATGTATATGAAAATACATGTATTACCATAAAAATTTTACAGAAAAGTGAGATTGGGATTCAGGTAATCAAGTCATGCCAAAGGTTAGCCTGTGCAACCTGTGGACCCCAAACCTTCTGCCTCCGTTCTCTTTAACATATCAAAGATCCACTGGCCATAGGGGCAAAAATGGAGCATACAGTAACACATCAGTGTGCCACATTTACCGGGCATCATTTTCATATGCTAGCAGTCCCCAGTGGCTAGTTTCTCAGTTGAGTAAGGCATAATTAATTTATAGACCGTTGATGGTGACAGTGCATACCAATTCACTGAGTCAGTTACTTTCTCCTTTTCTTTCCAAATGAAGCCAGCTATGCATTTTAGCTGTATAGACTATGATTAAACACATCCCCCATAAAGGGAGGGACCACTACGAGGTTACAGTCGTATATATCCATCTGTTGGAGAATTGAGATTTGTAGTAGTATCAGAGCAGTGAAAATGTAGAACAGGTTTTGGTCTGATGAAAACAAAAACTTGTCATTTTGCTGAGATCCAGACAAAAATTTCCCCTGAAGATCTACAATTCAAATTCTGTGTCATATATCAAAGGATCTACAGTTGCTATGTATGGCAAAGCTCTGTGCATCTGGAAAGCACAGAAAAAAAATTGCATTGTTCTTACAAGTTTTAATTTTGTGTCTGAAAATCTAGTATTATCAGTATTATCCCTGGAGTAAGAATTGCTGGCATGAGATCTACTTTTTTTTTAATACTCCATTTTACTTAAGTTTATGCTGGGTAATTTTTAAAATGGCTTATAACTGAATTACTTTCATTCTGTTACTCATAAATTCCCCACTATCTACCCTTTTTTAATGGAAAAAAGACTTGAACAAAGATCATTTATAAAACTATGTACACAATAGATCTCAAATTTACAGTTGTTTCTTATTTTAACTAATAAATACATGTGGTCTTTTGTGGTCTTTTTTTTAGTGCGTGTAGCACATTAAATCACCTTTCAGATGTAATGACTAAGATGACACTTGGAATGATCAAGATATGCATTAAAAAAGGGGATAGTATAACATACAATTTTTGTTTCCTTATAAAAATTCATGACTGTATAACTCTTGACTCACAATATTCAAAATTGTTTTCTGTGGTGGTAGAAGGTATAATGCTTTGAAATAGACATTTCTCTAAAAAGTAAATAACACTTTACTTTTAAGCCAATTTTATAGGTGATGTCTTTCTATCTATTTAAAATTATTAGTGTATGATTTTATAGGAAAGATTATTTCAGGTAAAATAGATACTAGCTTCCCTATCATTCTAAGTGCTTTATTATTAGAATATGCGTAGTGCAGAGATTTTCCTTGTCCAAACAGTATCTTATTTGTTAAACAAGGAAAACACTTTTTATTATAACCTTCTTAAAAGGTTTTTTTATACATTAGAATTTTAATCTAGAAACTTCCTATTTCCAGCCTTTCTTCAGGAAAACTGATCATCTAATTTAATGGGACTTGAATTAAAAAGGGAATCTTCATTTATCGTGAACATTAACAACCTCCAGGATAGTTGTTTGAATTGCTAAAATTTCCCTTAAGTTCTTCGGATTCTTCCCATTTTATTTATCTATATAAAGACTATCATTCAAAAATCCTTTAAAGGGACTCCAGTAAAATCTGTATATCTGAATGATTAATATTATGCAGCAAAGGTACTAGGTATTCTGAGGATTACTAAGTGATTTCACTAAATTTTAAAGTAATTTTTGGTGACATGGACATCAGGATGAACAAGTACCTGAAACTAATTGAACTTAATTGCTAAATATTAAACAGTAGTGACAGTAATCAAAATTTGCAGAGATCACTTTAATACATTTATTTCAAGTTGTTACTTTGTAACTTCAGATGAAGTTAGAATTCATTTATCAAATCATGAAGCTTTCCAATTAGTTTGAACAAACATCAAGGCCACTTTCCTCAAGAAGGAAAGCTAAATAGATTAAAAGGTCCATCTCATAGACCAGCTCCCTTCTATAAGAAGTTCCCACCCCACCCGTCCAAATTTTGTCAGTTCAATACCGTGGGATAGTTTCCACTAAACGAGAGCTTTGTGGCTCAGTAATATTAAATATGAGCAACTTCGGCTCTTCCCTGGTAGGAAAGAAGTTCAGTGCAGTTAAATTGGCTAAGGATTTCTCAGCACCTGTCTGCTTTAGTGGAAGATGCAGAAGCCTTTGTAGAGAATTGAGGAACTGTGAATCCAAGTGACACGTCTTTTGCTTTTGTTTTCTAAGTAGACCGGTTTGGGCTGAGCCAGCCAGGACGAATACCTGGTTCTGTGAATGCCATGCGGGTTCTGAGCACCAGCACAGACCTGGAAGCAGCTGTGGCAGACGCTTTGGTAAGAACACAGTCCGGGCAGGCTGTCTAAATTGTTCACTCATCTTTTTCTCTCTGAACAGGAAGCTACCCCCAAATCAGGGTACTAAATCATCTTCGACACCCTTTAAACTTGTATAAATATTGAATAAATTCAAATTGTTCCTATTTTCTTGTACTTCCACCTCTGCACAAATGTAAGTGAAAATTGGTCTTCCAGGAAATGCAAGGATCAAGTATTCTTGTGCTCCTCAATATCAAGGAGGTTTTGATGACGTTGGTCTTCTCAGATGTCATTGGGCTTTTTTTTTTTCTTTTTGAGTATGATTTTTTTCAGCATGTTCTGCTTTCCATCCTGTTGCTTTTATTGCTTGACAGATTTTGATGGCATAGCCTAATAAACACATGATTATAACATTATCTAATAGAGTTTGAGGTTTCAGATTTATATTTTATTATCTTTGTGGGTCCATATGATTCTGTTTTGTTTTGTTTTTAAATAGATAATCAGTGTTCAAGTAAATTTTCCTAAATTTTAAGGCTTACTCTCTAAGGGTATGAAGCACCAGTGGAACACTGATGTGTTTTTCCATCATTATAATGTAGTATCCAAAGAATAAAAAGTGAGCAAAACTCTAATTTGTGCTTATAGCAAAAGTTTGTTGGCAGAAGTGACTTGTGGTCAAATTGCTCTTTAAAGATGCACTTGATCTGGTATGACATATTCCAGTTTATGTGCGTAGCATTTGAAATAGGTGGTCTTTAGAACAGCCTGATCTCTGCCCTTGCCTTTGCTGTTTTAAAATTTATTCCCTTGTAAGGAAAAAAGTATACAACCAGTGTCCTGCTTTGCGACCCTGGGGTTTTTAATCTCACCATGTTCCATGTGGTCAACATTTTATAATCTGTGGGTGTGGTGATTCCCACTCTCATCCCTTTGTGGCTCTCCCATTTATTCTTACTCAGCTGATGATTCTTTGACAGGTGTCTGTGAGCAAGCAGTTTACTGCTCTCAAAATGCCCTCCTGATAGGCAGACAGCCTGGCCAACTCTGTTACCACCCTTTCTTTTTTATTTTTTTTTTACCACCCTTTCATGTAGGGCTTTTCCTGGCAGGTTCAGCAGTGCAGGGTAATTGCTCTAACCCTGGCTTTAACTTGAGTCAGGAGCTGGAACAGAATTCTCCCAAGCTGTTTCACCTTCCAAGTTGCAGCAGTTAGAATCCGCCTTTATTTATTCAAAGACCCTAGGAAGTGGAGGTCAGTGGGGATGGGAACAGTGAAAGCTGAAGAAACCCTTAGCTACATGGGACTTACAGTTAAGGCAGAGGACTGTGTTTGTTGTTGTTTTTTGTTTTTGTTTTTTAAAAAAACTGCCTAAGGGGCTGTATGCAAAGTTCTACCAAGCAGAACAGAGCCAGAGCTGGAGAGTTGAGCTTTAGCTTCTTTTGTCTTTTGGTTACTTTTCTCTCGTTGCTGGGACAAAATACCTGCACCCAAAATTAAGGAAGGAAAGGTTTATTTCACTTACAGTTTGTGGAGGTTTCAGTCCATACTTGGCAGATTACAAGGCAGAGTGGCACACGGCAGAGGGCTACAGCTCATGGCAGCAGAACACAGCAAAGCAACAAGCACACATAAGGGAGGAAATGGCCAGAAGCACCCTCTTTCTCTCCCTTACATATGCAAACTATCCACCCCAGGGCTGGTGTAGCTGTCACACCCATAATCAATCAAACTCTAAAAGCCTGCTCCATGGTCACATGAGGCTTTGGGGGGACACCCAGACACAAACCATAACAGTCTTGAGCTTTTCTCTGAGCCCCAGTCCCGTAATACTCTTTTGGCCTTGTTACTTTTTGTCCACCCTGTTTGGTCTCTCATATGACCTGTTCCTGAAGCGAAAACACAGGAATGGTACTGAGTCCTTGCCTACAGAATGGTAGCCCCAACAACAGACAGAATGTCTTACAGAAGTAGATAGTAGATCAATGGTGACCTTAGAGATGTGCTTTGTGGGTATGGGGAGAGTTTTAGCAAAGAATTATAGCAAACTCAGAAAGTCTTAGGAGAGGAATAGGAGGGTTAGGAAATGCCATTTTGAATGCAATCTGACTTACTATTATCCACTTGATATGAAACGCTTGCTGACCTGTGTTTTTGGTTTGCTAAAAGATGTTTTGCTGTACACTTTTGTTGCCAGAACAGTCCCAACATATGCTTCTGACATAATTCTCTATGCTTTTTCCCCATCCTTCAATATTTTCCTGCCTACAGCTGTTAGGAGACGCCAGGAGCAAGGTACTAGTGCTTTAACTTTTGTTTAAAACTTTGTTTTTTTCTGTTGCAAGTATATTTCTTTTAGAATCTAGCAGAAACAGCCCAAAATGTAGTAAAGTGTAGGACTTCTGGTCTGAGTTACAATGCTGTTGAATCTATGGATGCTTTTCATTAGTGATGGAGTCAGTCACCTTTCACATGTGTTTTTGTATTTATTTTGAATGTCAAGTTTTGTTCCTCTTCTGAGTATTTCATTTTACTAACTCAACCTATGCCTATTATGTCATCATTTTTTCAGGATTGAATTCATTGACATTTTTCTTATTTTAGGACTAGTCTGTATGTAAGTGGGATGTGACCATATATTGTATCATCCAAACAAAAATACTTTTGAGAGAGAAAAACAGGATGTTACTGATAATTATGTGGAACAATAGACAGCATAAGAGTCCTGAGCAAATTGGGATTCATAATCATTCGTGTAATTAAACAATTACATTTGTTGGCCAGGCATGGTGATACACACCTGTCATCCCACCAGTGATACACACCTGTCATCCCACCACTCAGGATTACTATGAGTTTAAGGGCAGTTTGGGTTACATAGTGAATTCAAGACCAGTCTAATCTACATAGTGAAACCCTATCTCCAAAAAATTTTTTTTTAATTTATAAGATTTAAGCTAGTCACTTTTAGAAAAATTTGTATTTAAAAATTACATCAATTTTACATAGCTACTGTTATATCTCTTATGGTTTAATATAGTTTTATATGTGGGATATAAGTGAATGAAACAGGTATTCATGTTGAGCTACAACCCGTAGGCCTTTTTATTTTAAAAGTGTCTCACTAAGTCTCCAGCTTGTGTATGCAAGCCTTGAACTTGCGATCTTCCTGCCTTAACTTGCTGGAGTGCTGGGGTTACAGATGTGCTCCACCATGCCTGGATCAATTTCAGGCTTTCTTAAGGGAATATGAATATGCAAGCAAGTGTACCCATGCCCATGCTCGTGGTTTATTGCTTTTAACTGCAAAAGGGCAAAGGGTGCACCTCCCTGCTGTGTGTCAGGTGCTTAGCTGAGTTATTTAAGACAGAATTTCATTGAACCCTCACCACAGGCCTGTGGGATCCGAATAATTACTACCCTCTGAAAAATGAGGAAACTGAAGCAGAAAGCTTCAGAGTCTTTCTGAAGTCATGCAGCTGATCCGCATGGCACCAGAACTGTGACCCAGTCTGTCCTACAGAAAGACCCCCATGCTGTGTCACAGGCCTTCTTCTTTTCCCCACCGAGGAGTGTGGTGCTTATAACCTATCTTGCCTACTTGAAGACTGCTTTTCTATTTTTATTTCCCTATCCTGTAAGCGCAGGAAAAGTGTATGTCTCTGTGTCTTTTTACATGGATTCACCTCTTTGTTGTTTCTATTTGGTATGACTCACTGCCATTTCACCTTCCATTTCTTCTTCATTCATCCCACCCCCATTGGATCCATCAGAAGAAGCCTGTGCGGAGGAGATACGAGCCATATGGGATGTATTCTGATGACGATGCCAACAGTGATGCCTCAAGTGTCTGCTCTGAGCGCTCCTATGGCTCCAGGAATGGTGGCATTCCCCATTATCTGCGGCAGACTGAGGATGTCGCCGAAGTTCTCAACCACTGTGCAAGTTCAAACTGGTCCGAAAGGAAAGAAGGGCTTCTGGGCCTGCAGAACTTACTGAAGAGCCAAAGAACACTGAGGTGAGGACAAGAGACTGAGATTGTGAGCCACATTTGAATCCCCTGTTCCATTCATCAGGGGCTTGAAGGGATTCCTTGTCATTTATGGAGTTCTTACCAAGTTCCACTTGCTAGGGCAAGCACTAAGGGTGCTAGCAACTGCGTCACAGTGCTGGCCAGTCAGGAACTGTAGAATTTGTTAGGTTTGTAAAACATTCAGTTTCCATAAGGTTCACATTTGTCCATCAGATATGTTACTTGAGAAATTTTGGGAAAGTTTCTAACTAAAGTAAAGAATAAAAATGCTGCAAGTTTGTATGGTCCATTCCTCTTAAGGGTTTAGTAAAAATGGTACCAGCCTCAGTATAAAATTTTTAAAAACATACGTGTTTATGTGGCTTATAAGTATGCAGAGTAAACATAATAAAATAGAGCACTCCAAAATAGTAACATTATCTTTAGAATTATTTTTTACTTTTCTCTGTTTCTATATGTCATAAATGTTAGAAAATAAGCATGTATTGCATACACCAAAAGAAGTTCACATCACATCCCATCAAATCTAAGGTGCTGTTAACACGCCATTGTTTTATATCTTCCTTAAGAAATGCTGCTTATTAAGCATGATGATATTAATGTCATTGATTACAAGATGAACCTCAGTAGCAAAGATGTTAAAACAAGAAAAAAGAAATACAAGTAGTAATTGAGAAATAGCAGTGTAGACTCCATGAAATACACTATATTATGACATCTAGGTCATTTTTTAAAGAGAAAAAAATAAAAACAGTGATACAGAATTTCAAAACATGATATTAAAAATAAGTTGTGAGACTGGATACATGTGGCCCCGGCTTGAGGTCCCTCCTAGATTGACGTGACTAGGTGAATGGTGGCGGGTGAACAGCTGTGCTCCATGTTTGGTCTTCAGTTCCATGTCCCTGTCCCATGTTACTTGAAGACAGTAGGAGAAATCCAGGCATCCCTGACAACCTCTAGTGATCTCTCAAAAACAAAACAAGGATGACTTGTCTTGATCATTCTTCAAGAATCTGTTTCATCCTGCTGGTCCCACTTTCTGGATTCTAAGTGTTTGCCGCTTTCTAGACATTATGAAGTCAATAACGTGTAGAAATCTTTTGATTAATACTAGTCTCATCAAGTTGTACTGTAGCAGTGTTGAAGGACCACTGGGTCAAATGCTTCATCTACAGGAGGAAAGGGATTACTCGGGTGATTTGAGGAAGAGCACATCCTTCTTTCCATCCTCAGAGTAAAAAGGCACTCGGGGCCACAGTGGTCACCTTGGTTTTACTTTGTCCCTGACACAGTAATAGGTATGAAATGTTATCGTCCCCAGTTCTCTCAGCAACAGTACGACTACCTGACTGATAAAGCAGCTACATCTTCAAGTGGAGGCTGGGAGATACCATGGTACTTTGTTTATAGCAGAATTGAGATGAAGGTTCCAGGTCTTTCTGACCCCAAACACGTGTTTTTTCTAGTTTAGTCCATTGCTGAGATGAGGTGAAAGGGATTTAACTCATGTTTTATCACTTCCAGATGTGCAAGCTTGACCAGATCTCTCTGTCTTGGAATTCCTGTTTCCTCATTTTAAAATGACAGCAAATGTATGGTTTTATAGTTAATTTCATCATAAATTCATTATGGCAATTCATTTTTCAAGAAACTCTTTCTTCTGTAAATAAAGATTAAGGAAAGTTTGTGCAACTGGCTGAAACAAAAGGATTTTTAAAAGCAAAGCTATAACCCATTGAAGTGGTGATATGTTTAAATTTAAAGTCATTTATTTCTGTTTTATTTCATCTAGTCGAGTAGAATTGAAGAGATTGTGTGAGATCTTCACCCGAATGTTTGCTGACCCTCATAGCAAGGTAAGTCTGGAATCACGTCTTCCCTGTATTCCTGTCTGCATGTTTGTGTGAGCTGTATAATATACTATCCAAGAATGAGTGACAATTCGCGTTACTGCAGTTTTAGCCTTACAAATTTTACATCTGTTTCAGCAATAACGTTACGTCTTTCAAAAAGTTTTTGGGAATTCATATGTTTTAGTTCTTGGGAATTCAAATGTTTTTTAAAATGTGCTTCAAATTATCATGGAGAGAGAATCAAACGTCATTCATTCAACAAATGTTTTTTGCATGCCTTGTGTTAGCCAAACAATCGGGTAGTTCTAGAGTTAAGATCTATAATGCATTTTTGAAGTTAGAGTAGTGAAGAAAATATATACCTAATTATTTTTGAATCCTGTGTAGAGCTTGCTGTCACAGAACAAGATAGAAACATGAAAGTATTTATTTAATGGGTTTATTATAAAATAAGATTGTTATTTCTCCAAATAGAAGAGAATTTTGCTGTTCACAAGCACTTGCTGGATGGTGATCATTTAGCTAATGTCTCTCTCTACCTCCTAAAGCCAAAGGAAGCACCAAGTTAGAGGACTTACCTTTTTTACATGAGTCCTGCAGTGGAAGAAATACCCATGAGTGCAGGACAAGGTCCTTTCTAGCGATAGTGAGGAAGGAGGGCCTCTTCACAAATGTTACATAGATTTTCATTGCCTAACCATTGTTTGGGAAAAAAGCCTTTAAAGGCTATTAGATGCATTTAGGAGAAGAAAATGAAGAGAAGAAGATGAAGGAAAAGTTAAAGTTGGATAAAGGATAAAAAAAGTATAGAAATTGATAGAACCTCAAATCAGCAGAGGCAAATCTTAAATGCTGACATTCAGGATTAGCCGTGTTAGACTACTGTTCTTTAATAAACATAATCTCTTCCAAGTTCTGTTGAGAGAAGAAACCTGTAATGGCCAGAGAGTCCAGCCAGTTATTAATCATCTTCCTTTTCTATCCTTGCTTCCTTATAAGAATTGTCCCTGAAGTAGCAAACATCCATCCTGGTCTGTTCACACATCCGTGCACCCATCCATTCATCCACCCACCCACTCACCCAATCAGTCATTCAACATTTACTGAGTACCTGCCATGAGCTAAGGATACAGAAAATAAGACAGAGTCCCTGCCTTTTGAGTCACTCACAAGATAGTAGGGAATGAATGCATGGTGGCTGTCCATCCCCATCACCCCTGCACAGATCTCACTGTATTGGTCTCAAAGCATGTCTTAAAATTTCTACTAAGACTCTCTCAGACAGGATAACATTAACAATATTAATAAATTCCAAAAAAGATGGAGTTAAAGGCCACATAGTTACCCAAAGTTACAGTCAAGATTTATCTTAACATAATGTTAAAAACAATAAGATTTAAAGCACAAGTATAGTATGATTTGTAAGCATTATACCATAAGGGATATTTAGATGGTTTTGGACATTGATGAAATTTCTGTTACCTGTTACCTCTAGATTGCTGATTCAGAAGCAGAATGTGAGGATAAAGAAGGAAATTTGTTTCCATCAGAAGGCTCTTGTCCAGTGAGTTTGGAGGTCTCAGTTTAGTTAATACTTGCTAGCTGCTTGTGAGCTAAGTCAGGAACCCTGCAGCCAGGGCTCACTGGCTTTTTCCTGAGCTGTCTCACCAGAGACCTCTCAGCGTGAGCAGTTACCTGTGGTTGTCCCAGTAGAGGAAATTCATTAAGAAGGAAGGGAATCCACTGATACTTATCACTCTGAAATTTGTTCAGAGACATTTTATTGTGTACTATTTCATCTTAAATAGCAGCAGTAATTACACACCAGCATGAGAATTATGTGAATTGTCAGCATCTTTTATCATAATCTTTTATTACTTCATAATATTAGAAATAGGCATGTATCAAAAAGCTAACTCAGGAAAGGCAATAGCTGTGCAATAGTGAGTAGGATCTTCCTTATTTTGCGTCCTATAATAGTATTTTTTGAACATGAGATGAGAAAAAGCAGTATGGAAGAATTAGGAAAATTAAGAGTCTATCTCTCTGTCTCTGCGTCTTTCCCTCTCTGTCTCTCTGTTTCTCTGTCTTTCTCTGTGTGTCTGCCTGTGTGCCTTCCTCTCTCTCTCTCTCTATCTCTCTCCCTCTCCCTCTCTCCCTCTCCCTCTCCCTCTCTCTCTCCCCTCTCCCTCTCCCTCTCCCTCTCCCTCTCCCTCTCCCCCCCCCTTCCCCACTTCTCCCTCTCCCTCTCCCTCTCCCTCTCCCTCTCCCCCCCCCTCCAGGATTAAGTCAGAAAAGTTAATTTCTCTCTACTGACCTTCACAGGCTTATATTGAGGGAGGAGAGAATATTTTATCAGTTTGTAGCTTTTTCAGGATTTTTGGAGAAACTGCATGAAAATGATATTCATACCTTGTGGACTAACATGGAATTTGTTTTGTTGCATGGCCTGGGTTGCGGTGGAATTCACAACAGAGAGTAAGTGCCAACCCTTTTCCTTTCTCTGTTTTTCACAACACATTTGCCTTCTGTGACATGAATGATTGTTGATGGTGTGCACTTAAGTGATAAGAGTCTGGGTGGAGCAAGCATGGGTGTTTTTAATGTTTTCTGAACTACGGAGGAGACTGAATTAAATATGTGATGTGTTTGGTTTTCTGTTGCACCCAGGTGTTCAGTATGTTTTTGGAGACACTTGTGGATTTTATCATAATTCATAAGGATGATTTGCAAGACTGGCTTTTTGTTCTTCTCACACAATTACTAAAGAAAATGGGAGCGGATTTACTTGGATCTGTGCAAGCAAAAGTTCAGAAGGCTCTAGATGTCACAAGGTAAGTGGTTATGGGCTCAACCACTTTGATGTTGCAAGATTTTTGTTTCTGCTTTCTTGCCATTTGTTCAGTTACTCATGGCCACCCACTCCAGTTTCTCTTTTGATCACATACATTCCCTTGTGGACTTATTTATCAGCATGTCCCACCAGTGCAGCAGATGAAATACCTGTCTTCCTTGAATTGGCATTATGTTTGTGAATTCCTAAGACAAATATAGAGACATATGTGAAGCTTTGGAAATTGATTCTCTGTGGCACTATGGCTATGGATTCTGCTCATACATTTTCTGTCCCGTCTGGCTTACTTGATTAACAGTAGCACATGCTGCCCTGCTATTACTCCCATGCATGCCACTCATACATGGCTCTGGTTGCTGTGTAGGCATTTCTTCTTTAACTCACTTATACTAGCAGGTTCTTGCCTTTTTTTTTTTTTTTTTTTGGCTTGTGGGGCAAGGATTGGTCTCTGACTCTGTTAAGGGTGACTGCTGTAGAAATCTTATCCAAATATATTTTCTTTTGATTTTTAACAAATGCAAAGTAACATAACTAATTTATAATAAGGCTTTCAGACTCCATCCTCCCTTTGGAGCATTAGGGTTAGTAGAATTGGAGAGCGTTACTGTGCACCAGGGGACAATGGGCTTGTGGAAGTGTGGCCATGAATTGACTAGGAACTGTACTAATGCAGCTGATACTTATAAATGAGTACCGTAGACAGAAGGAGGATTGCTGTTAGGCTAGCAAGCTGTAGCCACTTATGGCCTTATTGGAATATGGGGCTGTTGCTATGAGAGTTTCAAGAAAAGGTCAGAAACTGGAATTGAGGAATACATTTGCAGATTTTTAAAAATTTTTTTTACTCTGTCTTAGTTACTTTTCTCATTGCTGAGACAAAATGCCCAACACCCAAAGTTAAAGGAGGAAAGTTTCATTTCAGCTCTCAGTTGGTAGTAGTTTCAGTCCATAATCAGCCAGTTCCAAGCAGGGTGGCGTGGCAGAGGGGTATTGTGGAGGAGAAACAGTACACAGTGACACAGGGCAGGCAGAAAGCAGCAAAGCAGTGGGAGCAGCAGGAGCAGCAACAAGCCACAAGGCAGAGACTTCTCTGTATTACCCCTTCCAGGCTGCCCACCTTTTGGGTGGTGCCATCCACAACCAGGTTGGGCCTTCTCATTGTCCACAGCCAGAGCTATGCTTAACCAGTCAGTGAACTAATTTAGTAATCATGCACCTTTAATCCCAGCATTGCACAGTTTAATCCCAGCATCACACACCCCAGAAATAGCCCACTCTGAAAAGCCCCATCTATGACTGCATGAGGTTTTGGAGAGACATCTCGATACAAGCCATAACCCTCTCTAAAGGCCAAATAATATATGTGAGCCAGATTTAAGTCATTTAATTTGGGCAAATTAATGACATTTCAGATTTTTAGGAATGGTAGGGAGTAAGATTATACTCCTTAACTGTGATTAAGGAATATAGATCTGACATCCTATTAATTTTTCTAGTTCTTTTTTTTTTTTTTTTAAAAGTTTCATAGATTTGGTCCAAGTCTCTAAGGCATTTTTTCTTTTTCTTTTTTTTTTTTCCTAGTAGCTGAGATGTGTAGCTGCACTCAGGCTTTGCTAGACTTAGTCATGGGTTACATGGGGAGGCTTTTGGTGATGGTTGAGAGGGGCTCCACAGGTTCTCAAGCTTACTGCTAATGTACCTCAGTTTCCTTGCTTCTTGCTGTGCCTAACAACAGAGCACACACCATTTACTGAACTGTATTCTCCACCCACCCTTTGCTACAGACACAAGAGGAATGTTTTGTGTGTGGTGTGTTGGCCTAGTCACTTACAGTGTGTACACCCAAGTGTACTGTATTTCCAGAAGTAGTCATCAGAGCTCCCAGGGTACTGTAGCAGAAAAGAATGCCATTGGATCAGGTTTACTTTTTGTTGGTAATTCTAATGATAACTCTGGTACCTAATATGTATGACATTATAAAATTTTGTTTTTATTGTATTGCTTCTTTGAATTTTTGCATCAGTACTTTGATAATAGCTATTATTTGCTTCATTTTATAGATTTTAGCCTACATCCATATTTATTTTACTTCTGTAAATTAAGAATAATCTCTTAAGAGACTGCAAAGAAAGTAATATACTCAGTCTCAAATGTAACAGATACTTGGGTTGTGTTATTTTTCCTTTTAATGTAGAAGTTACATCAACACTGTCCACAACAGGGTTCCATTATGCAGTTTTGAGCTAGTGCTAATAATGCTGCACTTTAAAGGAGAAAGCACTGACTTTCTTTGGTAAGGAGACCCTCAGGAACACTTGATTGAGTCAGAGATGTGCAGTGACTGTGAGAAGGGGGATCAGTCATAGACAAGAAATGTAGCAAGAGAAGAGACTCGCTGACCCAGGCTTCTATGTATGAGCTGTAGCTGGGTGGAGAATTTCCCATTGTGGATATGACATGGGCATTCTTCCGCAGTGACTATACAAAAGCGAATCGTGCACAGTAACCAGGACAAGGAGGCCATACAGTCAGCTTACATGGAGTCAGCTATAAGTAAGCCCAGTGGGGAGGTAAAAGTAATAGAATCAGAAGTATTTTATGTATGGAGTAGTGACAAAAGTAGCTGCGGGGAGAAGCCCAAGAGGAATCTCGGCCTTGTTTTCTTAAGATTACTGCTTAATCTTTATTTTTAAGGTAGCTACTCAAAGTAACTTTAGTATGTGTTTTGGGAGACGTTTTTCTAAATTGTCTACATAACTATGTATGTATATAGTATTTATTAAAAATGAAAATGACTTTTAAAAACTGAGCAGGCTTTCCCTATATTAATCTGCAACAGTATGTTTTTATTATATAATTTTACATTCTTTTTTGTAATAGATTTATTTAAAGCAAGCACTTCTCTTTTTCGTGCAATCTAGGGACTCTTTCCCATTCGATCAACAATTTAATATTTTGATGAGATTTATTGTGGATCAAACTCAGACTCCAAACCTAAAGGTCAGTAGATATTTGTCATTGTAATTCAACTCCTCCAACTGAAAGTTGCTTGAAATTTACCTTTTAAAAATACATGACTAATGTTTAACTATTAGGAATTAAGCTAATTAGGAATTAAGCTTTCCTGTCTTGCTCTTTGTGGACATATTCCCATTTCTCTTAGTGCCTAAAGAGAAGAATTACTGGTTCACTGGGTAGACGTGTGTGTAACTTTTTAAGAAATTTACAAAATGGGGGGCTAGGGATTTAGCTCAGTGGCACAGCGCCTGCCTGGCAAGCGCTAGGTCGTGAGTTTGGTTCCTGGTACCAGTGTAAAAAAAAAAAAAAAAGAAATTTACAAAAATGGTTTTACCATACTATATTCCTGACAGCAGTGAATAAGATCTTCAATTATTCTCTCTCTTCACCAGTTTTTGAACATTGCTTGTCTTTTGCACAGTATTTAAATTAGAAAGACAATCTGATATGTTGAGATTGTTATCTTATTGAAATATTTCTTTAATTTTAACATTTTCTAAGGTGGAGATCATACTTACAATAACAGGGTCCCTGCTCATTGTCTGTTCTTTGATCATTAACTTCTGTTGGGGTTACAGATGCACCTAATAAATTGTAATCCTCCTCTCCTGGGATCAAAACCAATTGAAAAGTTGGAGAAGTTGCGGTAGAACACAACTGTGATTATTGACAATGCTACCTGGTGGGAGGCAGCTTAGAATATGGGTTAACAGAGTGACAGTTGGACCTGTCTCCTCTGTATTATTCGGACCACCCTCCCCACGAGGACCTTGCAGCTTAGATGAGATGTACAGTGTTGCTCTGTGTGGAAACATAAATCGAAAACAGGAGTTTTTCCCCACAGTGATGTTTACTTTTCTCTAGTCACCAGTTAAATATTCTGTTCATTCTGGAAAGCATGCTTGCAGTCCTCTTTCTTGGGAGGCTGGGGTAGGAAGATTATAAGCTTGAGGTCAGCTTAGGCAACCCAGTGAGACTGTCTTTTAAAAAAAAAAAGAGGCAGAATTCTATTCAAAGACTTATCAAGTGTATTTAATGTTTATAACTATTGGGTCTTTCAGGTCAAAGTTGCAATTCTGAAGTACATCGAGTCTTTGGCCAGGCAGATGGATCCAACTGATTTTGTAAACTCAAGTGAGACAAGGCTTGCTGTTTCTAGAATCATAACATGGACAACAGAACCAAAGAGTTCAGACGTGAGAAAGGTATGTCCAAGAGAACTAAAGCATACTTATGGACTATTCCTAAGCATATGTTTTTTAAAAATTCACTTAAAAACTTGCAGAACACCCTAGCCATTTATTTTTCTGTAGAAACCAAGCTTTGCTGTTGGCATTAATCCTTCTCTTTCCTTCTCTGCCTATTTCTAATCTTAGAATGAAAACCTGATAGGTCCAATTTTCTTGGACATTTCTCTTACAGATTTTGTAATATGAAAGCACCAGTAGTTTAGTGTCTATTACGAGAATGCTACATTAGTTTATAACATGTGATTTGAGGATGGAATTGCATCTGAGGCTAGCTGGATATAGGATGCCTGATTGTAAAAAGTATTTGAAAAGTTTGATAAGCTATAACAGATTCTTGACTTTATGAAGAGCAGAAGTACTAATTGTGTGCCGTACTTAGAACATTCTTTGATTTGGAAAGTAGAATTTGGTTGGAGTAGAATTCAGATTTTTGAGGTACCAGATACCAAGGCATTATTATTATTATTATTATTTTTTTTCTGGTTCCCGGAATCAAACTCATGACCTTGCACTTGCCAGGCAGGCGCTGTGCCACTGAGCTAAATCCCCAGCTCCCCAAGGGATTATTTTTATAGTTATTTTATTGGCTCAAGGAAAATACTTGCTGCTTTCTTCAAAAATGGAATAATGAGAGGCACTTAACACAATGGAGTATAACCTGTTACTTCTGTTGTTGGGTAATAGTCTGCTTCACAGAAATGTTACGAGTTTTAATTAATACATGTAAAATGTTTAATCCGTCCCTGACACACTAGAGGCCTACCACTGGCAGGAGTTACCGGGTCTCTGGGGCCATTATTCTCATTCTCTTCCTGTCAGTGTAACAGCCTACACTTGGATTTCTCATGTAGCTGTAGTTGATTTTTACTTTGCCTTTTATACTTTCAAAGCCAGATTTCTCAGTTCTGCCTTCAGACCAGAAGTACTCAGTGTTGGTTATATGAGTATAATCAGGAGCTTGGCATTGTTTTCTCCTGTACTGTAGTATTTCCGGAGCCATCCCCAGTTGTTTGGCCTTGGGGCAGTTCGAAAATCTGAGTCTGGGCAAGGACAAAGGAAAGGTGATCCCAGGCACTAGTTAGCAAAGCTGATGCAGTTCCAAGTGCAAATAAATGCTGGGCTCCCTCTCTGCCCGCTTCCTTTGTCTCTCTTCCCGCTCTTCTCTCTTTCTGTGGTGGCTGTGTGCCTCCTAGCCCTACTCAGCATTCAAAGAGGAGAACCAAATGGTCAAAAGATTTTTCTGGAAGGATCCATTTAATTCTCACTTATGTTGCATAGTAATAAATGTTGTCCAATGTCAAAGGAACAAGGGCAAATCTTTTTAAATCACTTAAAGTTATTATTTTAATATAAACTAATAGTTTTGATCCATGATCCTTTCATAAAGTATCTGAGCAATTAGCAAAAGAAATTCCATTGGGAACTTTCCACCAATAAGCCAGTTTTGGGGAGATATAAGGGGAAGTAATTAGATGATTTTGTTTGGTTTAAAAGTCAGAAATACATGAACCTGTTATAATTTTCAAAATCACAGGATGAACCAAAAAAAAACCCAAAAGGTTTAATTAAAATTTAAGTCACTAGTTTCTGTATTTAGGTGTAGACATGTGCAAGCAAAATGTATGTCATACTCAGCTTTCCATCCTGTAATGAAATGCCTTTCACAGGCTGTTTATGAAGAGGGAGTTTATTTAGCTCACGTTTTGGAGGAGCAACACAGGCTATCTCTCTCCTCTGCCTCACGTCATCGTGCAGGCACATGTGTGGAAGAGCTTAAACCACAAAACAGGAAGTCATTGAGAGAGTAGCATCCCATAGTCCCTTCCAAAGCATGCCTCAGTGACCTAAGGACCTCCACGTGGCCCATCTCTTAAATGTCTGCCACCCCCAAATCATGCCAGTGTGGAGACCAAACCTTTAATCATGGTGGGTGGTTGGAGGATACTCAAATCATAGCAGCACCTATGTGTCTATGTCTGTGCTTTTGTAATGAAATTTTACTCAGGTATTTGCTCCCATGGACTGAAGTGTGTTTTAGATCCCACATTACCATCATTGGGACCTGTTTGATCCCAATTTTCACTTTTGATCATACTGCCCACTTTCTGAGGACATACACATGAGAAAATTTGAACTAGGACTTAGCGTTCCGACTTCGCTAACGATATCACAGGACTTTCTTTCCTTGAGCTGTTTAGTTGGAGATACCAAAAAACTCAGCTTGCTTTAATACTAACTGAAGCCAAATATGATGAGGAAATTAAATTTATTGCCGGAGATCACATGGTTAATTCACTGTTGAGATCTACAAAACGTATGTTCAGTTACTTTAGATTCTGTGGTGTTATTCACAAAGTTTGTCTCCACTGGCACCTTGCTCCCGATGCTTCCCCTTACCGCTCCCCCTTCCAGTTGTGCAAGCTTCTTAACTTTTCAACCCCAGGTTCTGGTACAGTAGTCCTGAACTTCAGAGGAATTTGTGAAGCTCTAGCTCAGTAGTTCTCAGTCCTAGCTGCACCTAAAATCACATTAGATGCCTAGACTCCACTTCCATGGTTGAGCCTGATCCTTGTACTGTTTCTAATTGAGGTTCCCTCCATCTTGGCTGATTTTTTAGTGCACAGAGTAAAAGTCTGTTGTTTTAAACTATTAATCTAGGATTGAACCTCAAAATATAAAACTGTAGGTGTAATTTTGGCCTGGTTGCAATGAACTTTCTTGCTGCACAACCTAGCTCTCATATCTTCAGGGTATAGTCTGGCCCCACTGTTCCTGGTACCTTCCACACCTCCCTACCCCATACCTAGAGTTATATGCTTCCTAGTTACCCCGATAGTCCTCCTTCAGGCTGGCTGACTGGACACTTGCCTAGTGTACTCACTGCACACTGACTTGAACATGGGAAGCTTCCCAGAGAGTAAAATGTATCCTACATCATGAAAAGGATGAGATTTGCAAAAGTGATGAAGGAGAGGAGCAGTACTCCATGTTGAAAGATTGTCTGGGAGCAGTAAGTAGACTAGTGTGCCTAAAGCAGAAAGTTTTGAGAAGCTGAGTGTCAGGAGACTGTTTAGCTCATCCTCTGTGCTCAACAGTAAGTTCAGTACCTGTGGGAACATAGAAACTATTATAGTTTGGAACTAGAATGTCCCACAAAGGCCCATGTGTTAAAAACTTGGTCCCCAGCTTGGCACTGTTGGGTAGTGAGAAGACCTAGGGGAAGAAAGTTAGGACAAGGGGGTAAGGGGCTCTTGGATGGGATATTGGGACCCTGCCTGTTCTATCTTTCTTTACTTCCTGGCTATCATTCATTGAACAGGGCACCTCCCCCGACATTCCCACCGTGAAATACTGTGCCATCATGAGCCCAGAGCAATGCGGCCAAGTGGCAGTGGGCTGAACTTAGAAAGTGTGAGCCAGAATAAATCTTCCATTCTTGTGAGTCATGACAGGTGTTTCTGTCACCTTGATACAAAGCTGATTAACACAGTAGGAATCTAATAAAATATTACTCAATAAGAGGGAAAAGATCTCATTTCAAATGACATTTTGAAGCCATCATTTTAAAACCTCTATTGTCTTGAAACTTCTCCCCTTTTTGACTCCTACATTAGTTTTCTGTTATATCACAGCTTACAACAAACCTAACGCATATTTTGGCCTGCCAGTTTCTGTGGGTTAGGAGTCTGCATGTGGTCTCCATGTCCTCTGCTCAGGGTCTCACCAGGCTGAAACCAAGTTGTTCTGAGGTCAGTGATTTCACTGGGGGCTCTATTCTTGACTGAGTTCAATTTCTCCCACTTTCAGGCCTGAAGTGCTTGCTTTCTTGCTGTCAGCCAGGACCATTTGCAGCTTATAGAGTTTGCTCACGAGGAAGTTTGCCGTTTCAAAGCCAGCAGGGAGGAATATTTGAAGAAATAATGGCCAGGTTTCCCAAGTTTGATGCAAACATTAATCTTCATCTCTAAGTAGCTCAACTCGGCATAAGAGGGGGAGGAAGAACAGTCCATGCCTAGATACATTGCCTCTGCCTACTAAAAGCTAGAGAGAATTCTGAAAGCAGCTGGAGGGCAGCAAGTTACCATGCCCAAGGCATCCTCTAAAGATTAATGACAGGTTTCTCATTGGAAGCCTTGGGTGTCAGAAAGAAATGGGATGTCATTCAAAGTGCTGGAAGGGAGAAAAGTTGTCAGCCATGAATTCACTATTCAGCAAAAAACATCTTTAAAAAGAAAAGAAAACTGAAAAATCGGCAGGAGAATGTCTCACTTTGAATGTCTCCAACCTTTTTAGCCTTTCCTGATCAAGTCAGGCACACCCAGCATACTCTCTCTCCCCTTTGATTAACTCAAAGTCAGCCAATTAGGGACTTTAACTATATCTGCAAAGCCCCTCCTGCCACATAACAGTGAGAGGCATATCTGTTATAATCACAAATCCTGCTTACTGTAGGAGAGGGGATTATGAAGGGTGTACTGTATACACATTTGTGCCTATCAGGGCTTCGGTATCTTTTGGTGGCAGGAATCTTCCATAGTTATTTGGTAATTCCTTGGCTCTTACTTAAGTAGGGGGATTTTCACTGCTCTGTGCAAATTGTAGTGTAGTTCAGCTTACTTAGCAGATGCATCTCTGCATTCTGGGCATCCTCTAGATTTTTATTTATCATTTAAGACTTTCACTTGTTTAGTTCTCTGTTGTCAGGACTGACTGGTAAAGCCTTGTTATTTGATTCAAACATAGATTCTTCTGCTTCATAATTACTCAGTCACATACTATACCTTAGGGCACTACATTTTAGTCCTTCTTGGAGGTGGATTCACAGTTACTTAAATGCCTTGTTTTAAGGTGGCATGTACCAGACATTTGTAAATATGGTTGCTGTCGTAAGTGATATGGCTGCCTAATACCAAGAATATAATAGGCATTTGAAGTATTGTCTGAATGGATATAGG